ATACCAGCCCGATTTCCATGACTGTGAGCGATATGCTGCACGTGGGCTGGCGTATCTCATGTTTTCTGGGTTCCTTTAGTCCTCCACAGACAACATCCTTCCATCTTTTGCACGATGCAAAGCGTTGAGGAACCCAACCGGGGCCCTGTTTCACCGCCCGACGCTGCGCGCGCTGCAGCGCGCTGGGAGCTGAGGCGTGCCCCTGACGTCACTTGAATGACGTTGCGTGCGATCCGTTAGCTTATAATGAATCGCGTTTGGAACAGAGGTCCTAAAGAATCAAGTACAGAGAGAACAGAGGTTTGAGTGCGAATGCTGCTAGCGTGCTGATGGTGCTGGCGCTTGGGTGCTAGCGTTTTGCGATGACGTCATAGCGTAGCGTCAGAGGGAAGTTTGTTGATATTGCCATGGAAACCCAACGCGCCGACGCGCACAGCGCACTGCAGCGCTCCGCCGTGAAACAGGGCCCTGGTAAGATTACCAGGTAAGATTTATGGATTTCTAGTCTGGTGGTTTTATTTTCATTGCAACCTGAACCCCAACCAACCCAAGGTCAAATGTGAACGTTCGTCACTTGTTCTACATCTTGATCTGTAACCACCAGGCATTGTCAAACTTAGGACGCTGATTTACCTCGCTACAAGCAAACCTCAAAATCTAGGAAACACACTCGAAATATATCTACAGATATATAAGAAATATCAATATTTATATTACCTATGAATTTTGCTTTGTGTGCACTACGTCACGTACGCGTTGTTGTGGGGCCCTGTGTGGGACGTACGTCGACGTACTTTCCAATTTCCAACTTGTGTGCGCCAGTCTTGAAAGAGCTGCGCAGTGTATGTAGAGAATTACAGCAATAAAACACTGCATATATTTACCACAGGAAAGATTGGGTTATTTTCCTTTGTTTTCGTAGACAAAACGAAGTTTGTGGAATTTGTCATTAGGTAAATATAATATTTCTGAAGTTTTCTGTCTTTGAAAAGGTTAATCAAAACTTGTCCTTCGGCTTGGCAATTACCGAAGAGTTGGATTTGTTGAATAAGTAGCTCGAGGCCTGATGACATATTATGAACATTGTTCAACGTGATTATTATTTTATTCATGCATTCGATCACTAGAAAAGGCAGTCAATGGCAAACGAAATGCTTCTCAGGCGTCGAATTATATAAAAGATAGAAAACATATTTTTTCACAGAATAACTTTGGAAAAAATGGAGGAAGGCCTGGCATGCTAAATTAAGCTGCTTTTTAGGCTGATTACTTTTGGCGGGACATTTCTCACAGGTTTCTGGCGGTGTGTGTGGGGCCTTGGTAACAACTGGATTTCCATTACGTCATGGGTGATGATGTCACACCACGGGTGACGTTTCACTGCTGCTGCTGCTGTCCACGGAGGGCAGCGTTTGTGAGTGGAAAACAGTAGCAACATTGTAAATGAAGGCAGTATTGGCGCTTATGCTACATATGAAATTTATAACAACATATTGATATTGGTGAATGTTTATTTTTGTTACTTTTCATAAACCCTCCATTTCAGAGGGTCTGCATGCAAAATTTCTGTTATTTTTTAGAGTCAAGCTATTGTACTAAGGGATTTATTTTGGCAATTTAGTCATTTGTTAGGTTATAAGGCTGCAGAAACTTTTAGTTGAGGTTGGTATCCATTATCCAGTTGCAGCTATAATCGTGTCATATTTTGTATCATTTTCTGAACATGTAAACACCTACCTATATGAATTCAAATTTTGTGATTGTAGAAAAGCAGTTACCCTCACATTGCAGCGGGGATTAGAACAATTAACCACACTTGTTATACAAAAAGCCTGTTTGCCATCAATTTTGGGAATCCAAATTGGGTATTGGTAAGGTAGATGTAGCACAAGCTGCCCGATGCACGAGAATGGGTCTTTCTAACCAAACCTTACCTAACCTGACCTACAACCTACAGCCTTAAACCTAAAATTTACAACCTACGACCTAGTCCTACGGTATGGCATATCACAACAGCTTGTGCTACGTCTGCTAGTGCTACCATGACCCAACTTTGTGCCAATTCATACCAACTTGGGATGACAGTCACTGCAGATGACAGATGTGTGCTGACCATGCAGGTCTTTGTTACAATTGCAATTCTATTGTGTTACAGGTTCGGCGTTCTACAGCTGCGACCCGCCATGGCTGGGCCACCGCAGCGGCATCACCTTCAGGGTGGACCTGCCCGTGGCCACCCGCCGGTCGGACCCGCCTGCAGTCCGCAGGGAAGCTGCCCTGCGAGCCATTGCAGAGCTCCCGCACCCGGACGTCACTATCTGGTCGGACGGCTCGGCTCGCGGCGGACGGAACAGGGCGGCGCAGGCGCTGATCCAGTTCCACCACCTCAACAGAGAAGAGACCGTGCGCGCTCCTGCAGGGGCGGTCTGCTCCAGCCTAAGAGCAGAACTGACCGCCATGCGCGAGGCGTTCGCGGCTGTGGCCGGCCTGGAGGACGGGGAGTTGGCATCGACCAAGTCGGTCCGCCTCCTCACCGACTCAAGGTCTGGGCTCCAACTACTTGGCCGCGGCCCAGCTAACCAGACCATGGCCCTGGCCGCCGAGGTGTGGAGGCTGCTGAGTGCTGAGCACCCTCACCGAGAACGGCACCGAGACGGTGCTCCAGTGGGTGCCAGGCCATGCCGGGCTGGACGGCAACGAAACCGCCGACCTCCTGGCTGGCGAGGCCACGGCGGGCGACCAAGACAGCGCACCGATCGACCTGTCGAGTGCGCGGGCCGCCGTCACGCGCCATGTCCGGGAGCTGTCGCGACAGAGGGCAACCGCTGCCCACCCGCACCCGGACCCCACGCCTGGCCACGACTCCCTGGCGCGCTGGGGTCGGTGACGCTGTCCCAGCTGAGGACCGGCACATCACCGCTGACCCGTGACACGCTCCACAAGATTGGCCCGGAAGCCGACGACGAATGCCCCGCGTGCGGGGAGCCCGACCGCGCGGCGCACCTACTGACCGATTGTCCGGCCTATGAGGCGGCCCGCCGCCGCCGCTGGGGTGTCGACCCTCGCCTGGTCGACGTCCTCGGCGGCCCGGCGACGAAGGTCGTCACCTTCATCGAGGATGTTGGGCGGACCGAGCCGCCGCTCGACCCGCCTGCGCCGCCGCCCCCCTGAGCGGGTTGGCAATGGGATGCAGAAGAAGAAGAAGAAGCAACTGCCAGCGCGCCACGGCGGCGAAGCCGAGTTCCGCCGCTGGACCGCCCGCGCAATGGCCAGCACAGACAAGAGACAACCGAATCACAACACCTACAATTACGTTATTATGGTATTGACATTGTTACAATTAACCCTGCTCTTTCGAGCGTGGATGCACGCTGAAATTGTCGCATAATTCCATGCAGCTTCCACCCTTCTGCAATACAAAGTTTGAATACAAAGTAGTCTTACAATAGGTTTAGAACTTATGTGCAGATTGTCGATGCTGGTTGACTTGATGATTGGAATTGTGTTTATCTGTTTATCTGTTTTGACTTAAATATATGGCCATGTACTATGGCCTACCTTGGGAAGTGTCTCTGATTTCAACAAAACATTTTTCATCAGGATACGCTGCAGGGTACATAGTACATACGTAGTGAAAATTTTGAGCATGTATGGGTGCGCATGTGGAGATGTAGACTGCGAATGAGACGGACTACGACGGTTTTTGAACCAATTAAATCTGATTGACAACATAATGTAGGATTAAAAACTGACTGTCAGAAGAATATTCACAGAATATTCACTTCACCCAGTACAACGAAAAGGGAAAGTCAGGAAACAGGCAGGGTACATCTCGAAGATCAATCAAATTGCAGGTGCCGATTGGTTATGGATCATTGTAGCTCAATGTACTGCCTTGTGCTGCTTTATTGATTGAAATTGCTTCCAGCTTGTATTGAAAGAAGTCATTATGGAAGAATTAAAAAGGTTCTTGAAAAATTTAAATACTTTGAATTGATATTTATGCAGAATTATACACCCGTATCATTCTTTACATGTCAATATTTGTATATTATCTAGCATATAAGAAAATAGTGGCCTCAAGTTTCTAGAAAATATCTGATTTTACTCTCAGAGCCACTGCAGATCCCTAAAAAGTTAGGAGCCGTCTTCATTATTGAATGTATAAACCCAAATAAATTATCACTGCTCAAAAGTGGAAGAAATGACAAATGAAATAAAGTTTTCCTACAGCGTTGCAATCCAGATTTCAAGATAGTGATGGGCGCACTAGAAAGCAAGTAAAAGTACTCCACAAGGCAAAAGTAAGGAACAAGAATATCCTTATACTGTTTCAGAATTCGGTAACAAACATTTTTTGTGTGTTTTAAATACCCGAACAAATCGATTCCAGAATCAGTCTTGATAATATTATATGGTTTTTGTATGGTGTTGGTGGTACTTGAATGACCAAAGTCAGTACATGTCCATCACCTTTCGATATTTCCGTGGTGCTCGTTCCCATTTCATAGCTGCTCACGGTGTTTTCTGCTGACGTCATATGGTGCTGCTCCACTAGCGCCACCATACGGCGTCAGCTGGCGAATTATCCAGTTAATACCAGAGCCCTGTGTGTGTTGCGGTGCGAGGCGGCAACTCTCCGAGGTTGACGTTTAGCTGTTGATAGTTTTCTATTTTCTTTGGGTTCCTGCGATTCATTGCAAGGGGCTGTACTTTTTATGTGGGGTGGGTGCAATGCTATATAACTGGTGGGTCTCATGCAGTGGAAGCTTGAGGAATTGCTTCAGCTTGGTTGGTTTCCATTTCCAGGCTCACTTAAAATCATCATTTTAAATCAATCCATTCAGTTTTACTTGCTTTTCTCATCGTAATTGTTATAGATATGTCTATACTTTTAATAGGGACATTGCTTAAAGATTGGGACAATGAGGCAGAAATTATATAGGTGATCTTGAGCTATATTTCAAATGCAAGTGAGTTAGGTGCAATTAGATACCAAAACGGCTATTCTGGATTTTTGTATGGCGTGCGTGGATGTAAGAATCACAGTGGGCATGGTGAATGCCTTCAAACATGCATTGATGGTCTAGGTGAAATGGTTTTTTAAGTGAATAGCAATGTCAAAAAGAACAACAATAATCATTTTTATGATATTGAAGTGAAGTCAGAACAAATGGAATGTCTAGGGTAATCACCAATAAGATACCTCATTATCCATCCATTCTTTCCATCTCTAGATGTTATATTTTCTAATAGGGTATATTCAAGTAACACTGGAATCTTGTTAATATGGATTATGGACAATCGCATACATTAGCCTTTGTGATTGTAGCTCGCCCAGTCTCATCATGCCTGTTATTGCCAGGATTTGTACTGGAATAGCCTTGCATCCAGTAATGACATGTGCTGTAGTGTGTAGCTGCTGCAGTTGCCACCATCCAGTGTTGACAATTCTGCCTGTCTCCAGCCAGGACCTCGCCCGCTAAAATAGGACGCTCCAGGCACGATGACGGCGGCGGCACGCACCTACGTGCGGTACGCGCACCCGGAGGGCCGCGTCGGCCTGGCTTACCTGGGCGGCGGCGAGCGGCTGGCCACGGCCGGCGCCGACGGCGAGCTGAGGCTCTGGACCGGCGTCGAGGACGACGACCCCGAGTCGTTCCCGCTGGGCGAGACGCTGACGGCGCTGGCGGCCGCCGGCGAGCGGCTAGTGGTCGGCACGGACGCGCACGCCGTGGCGCTCCTCCGGCTGCCGGAGCTGAGCGCTGACGGCGTGCTGACGCGCTACACGGCGCCCGTCACGGACATCTGCGCCGCCGGCGCGCTGGTCGCCTCGGCCGGCTGCGACATGCTGGTGCGCGTCTGCTCTCTGGACGGCGAGCGCCAGCTGGAGCTGGACGGCTTCGGCGCGCCGGTGCTGAGCGTGGCGCTGAGCCCGAGCGCCGCCGTGCTGCTCACCACCTGCTGCGACGGCAAGGTCACCTTCTGGGACGCCCGCTCGGGCCGCCGACTGGCCGCGCACGCGCTGCTGGCCGTCAGTAACGACGTGAGCACGGCGCCGAGTCCGGCGCGGCCCTCCTGGAGCCCCGACGGCCGCTCGGCGGCCGTGCCCGTCGGCGACGGCGTACGCCTGTTCGGCGGCGACGACTGGTCCGAGCGGCGCCGGCTGAGCAGCGAGCTCATCACCCGGCCGGTGACGGCGTGCGCGTTCTCGCCGTGCGGCCGGTTCGTGGCGGCGGCCACCGCCGACGGCCTGCTGCTCGAGTGGCGGCTGGCCGGGGACGGGCCGGCACGCCAGCTGGACCGCCACGAGGGCCGGCTGCGCGTCAACGCGCTCTGCTGGCACCCGGACGGAGACCGGCTGGCGTTCACCGACAACGCGGGCCAGCTGGGCGTGACCTCCAACGTGCGCGCCGGCCGGGCGGCCGCCCCCGCCGCCGCCGCCGCCGACCCGGACGCCCTGATGGGCATCGACAGCCTGCAAGACGCCATCGATGACGACGACGACCGCGATCTGTTGGAGGCCGCCCTGGACGGCGAGAAGAACACGCTCGACGACCCGAAACTCATCGACGACGACGACGAAGAGGATGACAACGTGATATCGCTCCGCAAGATAAAGGCTGAGTCGGGTTTCCTGTCGGACGCTGACGGCGAGCCGACCGACGGCGCCACTGAGGCCCGCCCGTCAGCGGCGCCCGCGGCCGCCCCGCCGGCGCCCCGCGGGCCCGCGTTCGCCGAGCCGCAGCCGGCGTTCCAGCCGGGCAGCACGCCGGCCCACCTGGAGCGCCGCTTCATGGTGTGGAACGCGGTGGGCGTGGTGACCGCTCACGAGGCCGACTCGATCGACGTCGAGTTCCACGACACGGCCGTGCACCACCCGCTGCACCTGCGCAACACGCTGGGCCACACGCTGGCGGCGCTGTCGGAGCGGGCGCTGCTGCTGGCGGCGCCCGCGCAGGACGACGCGCCCGCCAAGCTGCAGTGCCTCCACTTCAGCTCGTGGGACTCCAACAAGGAGTGGTACCTGGACCTGGCCGACGGCGAGGAGCCCGAGGCGGTGGCGCTGGGCGCCGACTGGCTGGCCGTGGCCACCAACCGCCGGCTGCTGCGCGTGCTGACGCTGACGGGCGTGCAGCTGCGCGTGCTGAGCCTGTGCGGCCGGCCGGTGTGTCTGGCCGGCTGGGAGGACCGGCTGCTGGTGGTCCACCACGCCGGCACCGGCCTGCCCGGCGAGCAGAGCCTGGCCGCCCAGCTGCTGTCGGCTGCCGGCCGCCGGCCGCCGTCGCTGGCGCCGGCGCCGGTGCCCGTGCCGCTGGCGCCCCAGTCGCGGCTGGTGTGGGCCGGCTTCAGCGACCAGGGCACGCCGTGTGTGGCCGACTCGAGCGGCGCGCTGCGGCTGCTGACCGGCCGGCAGGGCGCCGCCTGGACGCCGCTCGAGGCGCCGCACCCGGGCGCCGACCACCTGTTCGTGGTGGGCGTCTCGGAGCTGGAGCAGACGGCGCGCGGCCTGCTGTGCCGCGGCAGCCGGTACCCGGCCGTGCTGCCGCGGCCCGTGCTCAGCGTGCTGCCGCTGCGCCTGCCGCTGGCCGAGGCCGACTCGGCGCGCGGCAAACTGGAGGAGGAGGCGGCGCGCGCGCGCCTCCTGCTCGACACGCTCAGCCGGCTGGACGCGGCCGGCTTCGAGACGGAGGAGGCGGCCGTGGAGCCGCGCCGGGCGCGCGCCGCCGCGCTCACCCAGCTGTTCGCGCTGGCGGTGCGCACCGACCGCGAGCACCGGGCGCTGGACGTGGCCGCGCAGATGGAGCAGGTGGCCACCGTGGAGGCCGTGGCCGGGTACGCGTCCCGCCAGCGGCGGGCCGTGCTCGCCCAGCGGCTCATGGAGCTGGCCCAGACACTGGCCGACGCGCCCGACGATGACGACGAGCCCGAGCCGGCGGCCGAGGACTGGGCGCCGCGCGCGGCGGCCGAGCGGGCGCCGTCGGAGCGTGTGGCGGAGCCGGAGCGGGTGCCGCGGCGCGCACAGACCCCAGACCAGCTGTCCGAGGCGGAGGAGGAGGAGGGCGGGGAGGACGGCCCGCCGCCAGTGCCCGTGCTGCCGGAGATAGCAGAGAAGTCGGGTGACGCCGCGAGCCGGTCCGATATCGCTCCCGGCCGACTGACGCCCTGTAACCCGTTCAAATGCCAGCCGGCCAAGCCGGCCACTCAGGCTGGCAAAGGCGCCGCCGTGTTCGATGATATCAAGCGGCAGGAGGCGCCGGCGAAACGGACGCTGCCAGAAGGTAAGGCGGCCAGGGGCGGCGCCAAACCAAAGAGGCCACGAGTCTCGAAAGATGCCGCCGGTAAACTGGGCTCCATCAAGAGCGCGTTCGCGCCCAAACCGCGCGTAGAGAAGGAGAATCTTGATGATTCTGAGAAGTGCGAGACCAGCGACGTGTCCGAAAATAGTACAAAGAGTGCCCCGAAGGTAGGCTCCGGTCTCGCCAAGTTGTCAGCCTTTGCTTTTACGGAGAAGTGAACTAAATGATTCCGGCTCCCTTTTAAATGCGTTTTTTTTTTTCGCTCCAATGAGAGGAGGTTTAAACATTTTATCCTGTTTTGCAGTAACGTGGCTCGAAGGGTCTTACGGCCTCATATATGTAAAGGATTGAAAGACTGTAGTGCCGCAGTCTCTTGTGCTCTACCTTGGGGCGTGTAAATACATTACATGTGCTAGGCGTGGTCTTTATGTAGACTGTACGGTGCGCGGTTTCTAATCCCCGGTATCGGCTTTGGGCCGTGGTAGTGGTGGTTGGCAAGCAGTTGCCCTCAACCAACTGTATGGTGTGGAGACTATGGTAGGGCGTGACACTGAGGAGTTTTCTCGTTCGGTTCCCCCCCCCCCTCCCACGCACACATACAGTTTCGTACCCGTGTTTCAGCGAGTCAATGGTCCTTTGACTTTGAAGTCACCATCCCCTCCTTCACCTCATCTCGTCAGTAGAGGGAGACAAAGAGCAAAAGGGAGAGAGAGAGAGAGAGAGAGAGAGAGAGAGAGAGAGAGAGAGAGAGAGAGAGAGAGAGAGAGAGAGAGAGAGAGAGAGACGAATCAAAGCAAAGTGGATGGCTGATCACTTTTATCCCTTAGTCGCTGACTGAATTGCAGGCCAGTGAAGCACGCCTAATAGGCTTTTAAAGGGACCCTCCCACCTTCAAAAAAGTTAATGAATTGGCATGAAAGTGATGTCGCTCGGTTCAGAAAGAGCAAAAACGAATATCTACCAAATTTCATCGAAAAATATTCACCGGTTTTCAAGATATTAGACTTTTACTTTTGTTTACTTTTTGGGATCTCCGCTGTTCCTAGCGACTTTATTTGAAAGTGCGGCATTTGTTGCGCGCAAAGCAGCATATACCACCGCGTGCTACAAAACGTTTTAGTCAAACATTTAACGGACGTTCGAAAGCCTGATGACGTCATCAGATTCCCGTAATGGTTAAGAGATAGGGACCACGCTGGTCCCACCCTGCAAGTAAAGGGAAGAAATTTCTTGAACACCATAAAGCAGCGGGGGTTGCGACCAGGATAAATGGTGGTTTCTGAGCCTGGCCGCAAACTTGGCTATCTCAACTCAAAACTAATGTTAAGGTGGGAGGGTCCCTTTAAGCCCGTGTGCGCGAATTCAAAGGGTGGGTCCGAGGGAGAAAAGCCTATTTTGGCATCTGCACTGCCTTCTTTTTCTTTTCTCTCTAGCCACGATATCTGACGGTTTCACAGCATTGGCGGTGCCGTTTCACGCTTCCTGTTGGCATCAAATGATCACTATAAGCATCTTGTTTTCCCAAATTTCATTTTGGCAAAGTCGCTGTTTGATATCTATGAGTCGCCCATGTTTGAGCTCGAGGGACGGCTGGCGGTGTCGCTGCCGGGCGCCGAGCAAAGGGTAGCTGCCGCGCGCCGGGACTAGGGGCCCCTGTTCCGCCGTTTGTGCCGTCAATCCACAGGGCTGGATATACAGAACCCCCGCCGGGCGGTGTTGGTACCCGCCGGCCGCCACCCTCCGACAGAGGACCCAGTCAGCCCCGTCCGTGCACAGCGCAGCGCCGAGACTCAGTCGGCCCGTCCAGCTGTGTGCGCACGGCGCACCCTCGCAGGTAAACATGTCACCGCGATAGCGCGGGGAGTGGGGACCATCAGCGGAAAATGGATGCTGACCCCTGCCGCGGCTGCCAAAGCTGTGCAGCTTTGGGGTAACCTGGATGAATAATATTTATCCTGCTCATACACAGAAAAACGCCACTAACAGGCGCCCATTGGAGGCTCCCGCTAACAGCATAAATGATAAACACCTCTGATTCGCTGGCTGGGAGGCTTTGTGATGCGGGAGGAAGCCCACTAAAAATACGCCCCGAGCGTATCGCTCAACACAGACCTCTTTCTTTCTCCTCTCTCTCTCTCTCTCTCTCTCTCTCTCTCTCTCTCTCTCTCTCTCTCTCTCTCCTCTCTCTCTCTCTCTCTCTCTCTCTCTCTCTCTCTCTCTCTCCCCCTCCCTCCCTCCCTCTCTTTCTCTCTCTCTCTCTCTCTCTCTCTCTCTCTCTCTCTCTCTCTCTCTCTCTCTCTCTCTCTCTCTCTCTCTCTCTCTCTCTCTCTCTCTCTCTCTCTCTCCCTCTCCCTCCCTCCCTCCCTTCTCTCTGTCTTTCTCTGTCGCTCTGTTTTCTCGGTTTATGTATACTGTGTATCGTCCCGATCCTGATGCCCTATTTATTTGGGATGTCTTTGTATGAACGGTCGACCTACACTCTAGACAGCAAATGTTAATCGATTCACATAATCGAAGAATGAATGAACGAATGAATGAACAGACATGTATGACGCCTAAGTAAGACATGTGACAGTGTATGACGCCGGATGTGTAAGCTGTAGGTTAGGGTGGCACTTAGCAATAGGGTGAATTTTATGTTATCCGATTTTTAGGCGTGCGGGTAGTTTTCTGGTTCCATTCCCGTAAAAAATAATGTGTGCAAAATAATTTTGAAAAATATTGATATTTAGGGGTCGCGAATTGAGGTCAAAGTTGGCAGTTTTGGGGAAAAAATCAACTTTTTGGAAACTACTTTAAACCTATTTGGAATGACATATGTGGTCATTAAGCGTCATATCCGACGTATTTTGACCTTTATTTGTATAACAATTGCTTATCCCATCACTTCCGGTCGATCGTAGCCAGTCCAGGTCACGCCAAGACAGGTCTGATCTGGGCTGTTTTACCCATGTCAGGCCTGTTTTTGGCCTGGCGACCGGTGCCTTCTCTCTCACAGTGGAGGTCATATCCTCTTATGAGTGTGAGGAGTGAACGGTCTCTCCTGTTCCAAAGGGAGGACGAGCCCCACAGTTCTATCGGTTCTTGAGACATGCTCCTTTTCTGTCAAAGAGAATGTGAAGAAGTTGGAGCCAGCCTATCGCCGGCGGGGGAAAGCAGAGGCGAGAGTGGGCATTGAGCTGCGCTGGTTTATTGTGCTTTCGGGATGTTCTTCCGTGGGCGCTTCTTCCGACTCTACATAGTGCCAGTGCCAGCAACAGACTTACCCGGCCATTGCGGCGCGCACACGGAGGGAACGTCTTTGACGATGGCGACCATGAGAGAGAAACGTCGACTCACACTCCCAAGCGCATGCGGGCGAGCGGACGTCCCCAACAGTGAACTGGCCTCGACCGGGCCAAACTGCCCAACCGTAATGTGTGAAGAACACGTGAGCCTGTTATCAACTGCGGCACGGAACTTCTGATACGACTCCGGCTGAACCGCGAATCCTGAACCGCGAGAGAAGGAGCGTCGACCGATTCTAGGTCCTGGTGATGGGGGGGGGGGATTAGGGTGGCCAAGCTCCTCGCCGTTCCCAAACTCCCTTCCATCCAAGCACAGGAGGCCATGCTCACAGCGCTGGGAGGCTAGGAACTGGAGAAGCGGAACTGCGGCCTTTTGCTTCGACGCCACGACGGCGAACAGCATGCTGGTGAACGGTACTTTAGCCCTTATCATTTAGGGCCTTGCCCTTATCGAGCAGAAGCTGGATCGGCCCGTCCTCCAGCTGGCCTGCCGGCACCACGTGTAAGAGCTGGTCCTAGAGAAGGCCTTCTCCACCTGCCGTAGAATCTCGAGCGGCCTCTACATCCGGCTGTTTAAGAGGTTCAAAGGCGGATGGGAGTTCATGCTTCATTGACAGGATCACACCGGTGGCGTTCGCCGTCGACGACGTTCCGGAGTGGGACAAGCTGCTGGTAAGCTTCCATCGCTTCCATCGCTAGACTATGCCTAGCTCCGGGAAGACTACCGAAAACTTCTGGAGCTCTGCGTAACTGCTCTCGGTGGAGTTCCAAGCACGGCATCCGTTTCTCAGCCTCAGAGTACTCCACTGAGTTAGGTGGATGGCAAAGACCATCCGTACCGTGGATGCCTTCCTCTTCAGGGAGCGTCTCCGGCTGACGGCGGCCGAGGCCCAGGTCATCAGACGCTGTGCGCTGTTCGTTGCCTGCAAGTTCGCCGCCGCCGCCGCCGCCTGGTCTGGGACTCTACTGCCACTGCGCCGGCTGTGGACCTGACCTTCGTGAACTCGTTCTGCACCTACCCCGACAAGGAGCTGTCGAAGGCGACAGTCCCGGTCTTCGGCCGTCACCTGTAGTAATTGAGTGATCGGCTGGTGACTCTGGAGCTTTTAGACCCCGACCCTCGGGCTCAATCAAGACATGGTGCGGGCAATAGACTTGTAGGAGAGGGGACCCGCCCCGTAAGTCCTTAGTGGACACTATGAACGCCGCTCTCGCGACCGAGACGTTGGCGAGCTTCCTCACACCATCGTTCAAAAAGCTCTCAAGGATACACGACCTGGACGCGGGGCTCATCATCAATGACCAAGGCCACTGGGAGGACAGCGGCTACCAAACCGCAGCTCGTGTAGTCCGGGAGCTGCGGGTGGTGAATGACTTCACCAGGCGCGGTATGGCGCTGATGTAGGACTGGCACTCATGGAAGACAAAGATTAGCGCCAGTTCTTCCTCCATGTCGTTGAAAAGATCACAGAAAACGCTAACCTGACACCCGAAGATCGACTGCAATTGCTAACCAGGCTACACACAAAGTGATCTGGGTGCCCGTTGCCCATGATACCCCTCCCTCCAATGAGGCGCCAATAATCTACTAAAGAGGAGGAACTGGAGTAGTGGAGTACATATACCAGCGTTCTGGCGTGGCCGAAGCTGCATGGAATATCAATAAACAATATCAAAATGACTAAGAAATGCCTTATTATCATCCGATTATAGCGTAATAGGAAACTCAGAAGCGATTTTAATGATATTGAAATATGCTACCAAAATCTCAATTTTTACCTTGATTCGCGAATGTCCGTGAAGTTAGCGTCAGCAACAGCAACGAATACAGCGTCGGATTCAGAATCGCTTAAAAAACTCATATTAGGTCAATTGGGGGACGGGGAGCAAGAATATGACCTTTATTTGGCCCTAGCTCTTACCCCTTACCCCTTAATCGGCCCTTAAAGGAAGGGGCGCGGCAAAACGCCCTCAAGGGTTCGTCTGATCGCCAAAATAAGGGTCGCAATCGATTCCCCGGGTCAATATCTAGCCGCAGCCTCGGGTTCCAGATGTGTGCAACTTACCCCTTACCCCTTAATCGGCCCTTAAAGGACGGGGCGCGTCAAAAGTGCCTCAAGGGTTTGTCT